GCAGCGATTTAAAGAACGCAGTTGTAATAAAAATTAGTAATTACGATATGTAATTCACTCTCGGGTTTACAAAAATCATGCGCGAATAACGCGATACGCTCCGAAAATATTCGACAACGACGCGCCGACGCTTTTCCAATCCATCTGCGCCGCTCGTAATCGCCGTTAATTACGTCACACGCATTATTGATCAAGGTTTAAAAACGCATTATTCCCCGAAATCGATTTGGCAGGGACATTACTGACGTTATTATTAATGGCGCCGGTGAAATCAATTTCGCAGTGCGCATTGTGCATGGATAAATGAAAAGATCCTTACACCCTCTCGCGACTGCGTTGTCGTAGAAGCGTTATTAAACGCTTAACTTATATCAGAGCTGTTAAGAGTGTTTTGCATATTAATACGCGCGTTGCTTAATACACATTATGTCTGTCGCGAAGAAACTTTCATTTCGCCGCTTCATTTAACCCGATAAAATTCTTAAGAACGCCTCTCCCCGCCACAATCGCGACAGCCCCGACGGCGATCAACGTCTCGATATTGTCGCGTTAAATGAAAAAAAAAGTGTCCCCCGCTTTACAGCCACGTCCCCACGCAGTCTCGTCGACCGGGCGAGCAGCCTGCACGCGAGCGTTCCGCGCAAAAACATGTTTAGCTGATGAAAAGCTTGAGTTAAATAAATTTCACGATGGCATAGGCGAACTATTGTGGGCCTCCTGTATATGCAACGTGCCTGTCTCGGTACGTACACGACAATGGAATACTTAGATCCCGCTGCAGCTCCTCCTCCCCGCGCGCCATTTTCCATTGTCTTATGATTTATGTTCCCTGGTCGCGGTGTCAACAGGGTATTGATTAAAATACACACATAGCCGTGGCCGGGCGTGCATACAGATTTATGCACACACCAGGCCGGCCGGAGTATGTGACATCGCCGTACCTTGTAAATCGACCCCTCCCCCGTGCCCCCCCACCCCCCGGTCCCCTGTCCGCCGCGCCGCCGCAGCGTCGATCGTGTTAACCGTGTAAAAAGCGCCAGGACACGCTTCCAGGTCGAATCGTTTAGCCGAGGAGACACCGTGCGCCCTTATACCCCGGATCCACGGGGAAGGCTGAAGGAGGTGACTCAGGGGGAGGGGGGGGGGCGGTATCTGAAATCCTACCGGGAAGCACACCGAGTGCGCATCGATGGTCCTTCCGCCCTACTCTCCGCCGGCGCGGCGGTACGTTCCACCCCCTACCCCCTCGAGAATACTTGGCTGTAAAGTTTATTTTCTTCCTCGTCGAGCAATGCAACCAGCCGTGGCATTCGCAGAATTATGCCACGCAAGTTGAACGAGGAGCGAGGCGCTTTCTTGCCGGCGCGGCGCGGCGCGGCGCTCTCTCGGCGGATGCGCGGATGCAAATCGCGGGAGGAAGTTCGTTGCGCCGATGGAATCTGCGGGAGCCGAGATAGGCGGAAGGGAGAAAGAGAGGGAGTCGTATTTCGATTTTACGTCGGGCGCAATTTGCGTCCGTAAGTCGCGGGCGCGATGCATCAAAACGGCGAATCGCCGAGAGCGACGCGGCGGCGCGCGAGCGCTATAATCCATTATGCGCGCCATCCATTTAATTTTAATATCGTAACGAGGCTCTGACGGGCGTTAATTCGCCGAGACAAGTTGTGAAAAATCGCGGACGGATCGCGATGGTATAAACGCGCGCCGGCACCCATAGCGACTCAATTCACGCTCCGGTGTAACGCGCATTATCACCGCTTTGACACAATGCTACAATTTTCTTCCGCTTCAATGTTTAGCATAGCTGAGTAAACCATAATTTGCGCGCTATTACGCGAGTATTGCGTTGCCCTCAAACGAGATGACTGCGATCGATTTTATTTCTCTAATCTAATTAGATTGATACAAAAAATTGGTAGAATTACAGCGCTAAAATGGCCGAAGCTTTGAGAAGGCGTACAATAATAAAAGACACACAATAACGTTATGGTAAAAGATTTACGGTTGCGACAGAACCGACCGGAGATGCCAGGCAAATATTTGACGTCGCGTCGCGAGCAATTCATTATTTTTAATATTGCGAATTGCAATTGCTCGCGAAAAAGGAAACGGAGCCGAACGATTGTCTCTCTTTTTTTTTTTCAAAAGAAATATACTAATTACTCTATGGTAATTAGAAAGCTGGAAATTTATTAACTAGTTGTCTAGCAGCATTGTTTCGCTTACTTCGATGCACGGGGGAGCATTACGGTAAGTAATTTACACCGTCGGTTCGCATTTTCTTCATTACTCTTGCTCTCCGCTAAAACGCTTTCTCGTTATTCATACTCACGCTGCTTCTTTTACTTTTTGTCACTCTCAATGGAACGCGTATTTATAATCCTCGTATTACGATACAAACGATCCCTGCAACGATTATTTATATATGTACGCGAGAGCGTTGAGAGGAATGACTTTCACGATATCATTATTCAAAAAATTATCGCGCTGCTCATTTACAAACCGAGTCAAGTCCCCTATTATGAGATAGGCTCCTAATACGAAATCGCATCATCTGTTGGTTCCACCACGAATCTGTTGGAGCGAAATCTGCTCAGTGGAAAATTCATTGGTACTCTGGGGAAAAAAATAGACACCATTTTGGGGCCCACAATTAGTAATCGAATTATTCGGATTGTTCGTTCTCTAATCTTTTACGAATTTTACCTCGCGTAACTAAAAATCGCAATTAGCTATTCTATCTATATCCAAGATTTTTAAGTAATTAGTTCGGTCGATATTCAGTAACGCAAAGATCATTTTCACTTAAGAAGCACTAATCGAAATGTTAAGTTGCTTAACTTCAAAAAACAAACGATCAACATTTCTCCCAGAGTAGAGTTACGTCTCAGAGTAGATTGCGTAATCGTTGCGAAAAAGAGTTTGTGATTGAAGCTGGGTGTTGAAAACCTACTATCTCATATTAAACTCCTATTTCGTAATAGAGGACTTTCCTCTATACACAATTATCGGATACAACGTCTATATTTTAAGGGATAAGAGGGGGAGAGAGTTATTAACTGTGTTTAGAGAACCGACTCCGGAAAGCTAACATCCATTACTTATCCAACCGGATATGACAACTCATCGTTCTTATAAATTTCAACTTGAGGCCGGAGAGAAAGGGGTTGCGTCTCACTCTGTCGCACGGCGACATAGATGCGTCCGCTGGCGCGAATACTCGGCGGGTCGAGGAAGTGACTCGTTATCTTAAGAGAGTCATTTCGTCCCCTTCGTCTTTTTCCTCCCCGTAGAGGCCGCGCTCTCGACTTTTCACTCTCGACTCGAGTGCCATCCGCTACAGCCGTCGTTGCCGCCGCCGCCGTCGCCCCTCTAAGCACTTCCGGGTATCACCGGGCAAAACCGACACTCTTCTCTCCCCCCGACGGCGTTTTATTTATTATCCGCGGTTACCCCAGCGGACCGCAGCATCCGGGCAACTTCCCGTTCGAAGCTCGCCGCGAGTACCCGATGCGCGAAGCGCGTATTCATCGCGAAATCGCGCACCTGGTCGTTGCCCGTGTCACATTTTTCGCAGACTCGTCATTTAACGGGAGCTCGCTAATTGCAGACACGTCTTTCAGAACTCTCGAGCGAGAACCAAGAATTTCGGTTACCGCCGATACTAAATGCGTTAGGAAACTTCCTGCACCTGGCTCTGCATATTTAAGCCAACGATACTATTTTGTCTTACTGGATTGCTTACAAGAACCAATAAGAATGTTGAGTTTTAGATCAGGTGACTTAAGGGAATGCTGGAGAGTGATTCTGCACTTTTGGCACCTTTTGCTCCTAGAATTCGTGAAAACATTTGTGCAATATCTAGCATCCTCTTAAGGCTGAATCCTGATTGCTCTTGCAAGCAATCCAGTAGGGAAAAACAGTATCGTGTGCCGTGGGCTTAAAATGTAAAGAAATGTATGTGTGCAAATCTCGTGATAAATGCCAAGCATCATAAATGCATTTCTATAAAATGGTCCAGAGAGAAATGTTTTTGTCCTCTTGAAATCTTTCATGGGAATATTGGACAATTTCCATCTCGATCAATGCGAGATAATTAGATCTCGTTATTCCTCCAAGTTTTATCTCTTATATGCAGCGCCATATATTAGAATTCTCAGATGCGGAGGGTATGCCGAGACGATTTCAATGACGCATTTAGTTGGGGTAGGAAATTAGTATCGAGCTGCTGCGCAGCTTGTTCAGGATTTACGTTCCGGCGACACAATACGGCGTAGTTACGTCGTCTGTCGTTACATCGCGTCGCCCGACGTACATCGTAAAAAGCACCAGTGGGAGGGCGATCACGAATGGATAATTATTACACATCGCTTGATTCGCCTCGACATCAATAACCCGGCTGCATTCATTGGCATCCGTGGAAACGAGAACGATGCAATATCTTGCATAAATATGGACGAGTTAAATTTTACTCTTACTCTCGAAGTCAGTCATTCTCCAGAATAAAATTACGCATTTCGTGCGCCAATTACAAAACGTTTCACAAGTTTCTGATTGTTCGCGGGAACAATGGAGCGGTGTTTGAACACGACACGTGCGATTTACTTTTGTACTGTTTGCCAATTATGAGACTATTTGCTCGACCCGGAAATGCGGCAACGTACATTACGTGCATTTACTGATATAATTAACAACGAAACAACAACAATTAGGATTCGATGTTGTTTAATATCATTTCAAGATAGACCGCGTCCGCGTGGGAAGAGAGCGCAGCCAAGCGGACGTCGCGCGCGCGAGGGAAGCCGCCGCAGCATCCAGCCTGAGCGTCGGGGTTGCGGGGTTAAAAGGGAAAAAAGTTATCGCGTCGTTGAACGAGATACACGCGAGCGTGAGATCACGCAATAGGGAGCCAAGGATGACGGCAGAATTTCCAGCTTGATTTAGGAAAAGAGCGGAGGAGGAGCGTATCACGCTTCTCCTCAGCGACGTATTCTACTCACCCCGATGTATGACCTTGTTGAACACGCTGGTGATGATCTGCAGCTCGGAATTTAACGTCTCGCCGAGCTGAAACAGAAAACAGCTTTCTTTGTGTATCCGGCTAAACGACAGTGACACCTTATGTGGCACCGCACGTAACGTCGCCATCACCGCCGCCGCATACACCGCCGGCGAGATGTGTCCTTCGCCATTCTCTCCGCCCTGATACGTTTTCCATCGATTTCCCATGAAAAGGGGTTGCTCGGCCGGTGCTAAGTGCACCGCATAAAGAGGTGAAGGCAAAGAGTCGTTTCGAAAGTTCTACACTGGGCGCCATTAAAGGTAACCGTAAAACCCCTGACTAAACCGACCGCGGACTTTAAAGTAACGATAAATAATAAAAGTTGATCTGCGCAGCGCGGCCGCGCGGGTCCGCCGTCGATCAAAAGTTTCGCCGTTTCCCTATCCGTGGCACGAAATTATTATCGCCGCCTCCGCCTCGTCTCTCTGTTCCGTAAATAGAGGTAAACAAGGGAGATAAGAAGATGGATAAAATGAAGTGAGATACGATCGGGAGTGGAATGCGCGCGCGGCAGAGATATTTCTCTTTATAATGGACGTATTCTTCGGTATCCAGATTTATGGATAATCGTTACTTAAAACCAATGTTGCTACCTCATGAAAGAACGTTTTATGAGGGAGCTTATACTGCGAAAAAATAATCGAAGAACGCTGTCTCCGTTAACTTTCGAGGACACCGATTGAAGCAGAGAAAAAAATGGCGTGCAAATATAAAATGCATAAAAAAATGCGTCGTATGAAATTGTAATCGTAATGTTGAGATCTTTTCTCGTTTACGTAAAATGTATTTCGCGATAAGTGAATTAACGAATAAAATTTTTCAATGCCATAGACGCGGCGATTTAACGTTTTAAGAAGTCGCCGTTGAAAACTTTATGCCTCGATAGATATTTCACATAAGATTTCATTTTTATGACACGTTGCGTGATTTAATTATCGAGTAAATGCATGTGATGCTATTGAATTTATCAGGAGCTAAGCTATGTAAAGAGGTGGTGACTGTTTTACCTCTTAATCCAGATACTTGAGAATTACATAGGACGTAATCGAGATTCAGTTGCGAGACAGGTAAGCGGACGCCGACGGTTTAATCTCCGTTTAAATTTCTTGTAATAAAGGGACCCTAATCTTAATTATGAGCTAAGAGAATTAATCTCAATGACGGCCGTCCTTAAACGTTCTTAATCTCGTCGCTCTAGGATAAATTTAACTGGGAAAATTCGCGGTAATCACGATTTCTTCATATTCATTTAATCAAAAGGGGCGCTTTTCTCGTCGCCGATACGACGGAACTTTAAAACACGCGCTGAGACACTTTGCCAAATCTCCCGAATAATGTTTCACAAACATTGGAATTTTCAACAATAGTGTAACGTTGGAAAATATTTGCTAAAAGTAAGACAGTGAGAGGTTTCTCTTTCTATGTCAAAAATTGTCAACGTAATGTCTATTTCTGCGATTCGACCATCACGTCGCTTAAATTAACCGCGGTTTTCTAAAAATATATTGAATTCACTTATTAATTCACTGTCTGCTTTCATGGACCTTCAATGTCCAGTGTAAAATACTGCGAAATCAGCTGCGCTAAATCCCAGCATGGCACGACCAAAGTCTATCTAGTTAAATCCGGTCTGCAGTTGCGGCTTACGCCGTCAGCATGTTGTTACTTGTTTGGCAAATCAACTGTACACTAATTTGTAATTGTAGCTTCGTAATTTCCGCGGCAGTCGGGCAATAAACAAGCTCCAACGACGACGCCCCGTCCTGAGATCGTATATCGATCGCGAGGGTCCGTCCTTCCGGTCTCTCAGCTCTGGAGCTACGACAATCGCGGATAAAGAGTATTGCGCTAAACCGGTACAGGGAACAGCCAGTGCTCGACTTCGCACCATATTATGCAGTTCGCCGGACGGACGTGGGGAATTAGCAAGCCCGATTCATTCGTTCCCTCTCCGACTCTCGCGCGAGATCCTTCACGTCGACCGAATTTCTCCTCCCGTTTGATAGCGCGGAATTCCCGTCTTTTGTCATTAGATCGGGACTACTGACTGGCAGTCGCTCTAAACTGACGCGTGGCGTAATTACGGGTTAGCAATTTCCTCGCAGTAGTTAAAGTGATAAACAACCGGCCGCGCTAATCATTCGGCTATATTGATAAAGGATATTTGTCTAGCGAAGGGGGAATGCGAGACACCTTTAACGCGCTCTTAATTATAATTACAATTAGTCACAATTGAGCCTTTTACTTTCAAAGAACGAAAAGAAATTAACTGTTTTGCATGCAAATTTCGTTCTATTAATATCACAAACCCGTGTTTGTACGTAATTTACCTTTTCGATGAATCACAAGCAATTCGTGAAAATAAAGTCGCCGGAATCGCGTGTTGCGAATAAACTTTTTCGACCTCGCTCCGAGCGGGGTTCCGAAACTTTTTTTTCTCTCCTCAATAGCTTTCCAGCGTGACGCTTATACCTCATGGGTTTTAGGTCGTAGGTCGCGACTCCCCCGTCTCCTTCCAAGAAACTTTCGATGCCGTTTAGTCGGCTACAGTTTCTCTCTGACCTTTTCGCATTCCACAAAGCAATCGTCGCGACGGCACGCGCCATTTACGCGTCGCAAGGCCAGACGATAGCGCATAATTACGTCGCATAATTGCGCGAATTATAAAAATAGTGTCATGAGTTTATCATTGAGATGCGCCTATTATAAATAAATCGCTCGCTGATGTTGAAACAGCATGTTAGCGTGTCACGGTGTTTTACGTATCGACGCTTGGAAAGTTTCCGCGTTAAAACGGAGTTCGTTTGGGTCCGAGATCGCAGAAGTACCGACGGTATCACGCGGCACCGACTCATTTGGATCTCATCCCTCAGACACCCCAGGGTATAATCCGTTTGAATTACAGTCGTCAACCCCGCTGCCTCCAGACACGCCTTTACGATCTATTCGTCGGGAGATCGAGCACCTGTTAAAGGTTTCCAGGAAGGATGATGCCGCATTGGGATTATTCAAAACGCTGACCTTTTCGGACGCGCGGCCCCGCTGCATTTGCCCGGATTTAGTCCGCTCTCATTGGAATTTATCATTTCGCGTGGGAAAATATATTTCGCGGTCGCCCGAAACGCTCTCTGTTTACGCGGACTTTAAATTTATAACATTTAAACACCCCCGCCCATTAGTTTTCGCACATCCGATGCGTCGCGCCGTTTCCCATTACAGCGTTTGATTCAACATTAATCCATAGCGCGATTATAACCGAATCACTTTGGCCGAGCAACTTCAATCGATCAAACTTTTTTCATTTTCCCCTCTAGTATTTTTCTTCCGGTGGAATACTAATTCACCGGGGGATATATAGCAACCGAAAAATCTTTTGCATTATCTCCGCGGGAGCTGGATCATGAATATTTATACTTATCTGTCATATTAATCAGCAGACGGGCTGGCAAGCAACGAGAGCTAATGCAAAAGCGCACGTAGAGGCGCGGCTGTAAATTCCAGCGGAAAAAGCGCTATTATGTTCGGTATTATCGCGTCGACGAACCCTTTTCATCGTCTTATGGCCATCGTCGTCGTCTTAAAGCGCCCGTAAACATCCTCTTAAAAATATTCAGAAGTTGCTGTCGTTTGTCGACGGCTGCAAGCGGAGTCAAAGTGCGTCGTTACGACGCACAGTCGCTGCAACGCATACAGCTTCTCTCCTTCCTTCTTTCTTCCTCTCTCTTTTTCTCTCCTATTTCGTCGTCATCGTTACACTACAACGTAGCGGTTTCGAAAGCTAAGTTGCTAAAGAGGGCGGAAAACGGACGGGAAAAGGGCGCTCGCTGAAAGAGGGTGCGAGCGAGTGGCGCAGGAGACAGAAGGTCGTCGCTGAAAGTTTCTAAGTTATTCCGGAGGTAAATACAGTTCAGGTCGGCAGTAGTTATTGCATGTTTTATATCGCGCCCTTTACTGGGGAGAGGGAGGGGAGAAATGCATCACGTGACGATAATCTCTTTCATTTTAGATTATTATACGTGAAAAATATTCCGCTTTCCACCGGCAGAAAATGTGGCAACGAGCTCGCTGGCGTTTCTCTATTTCTGTTCGAATAACATAGCTGAAAACTCATCAGCCCACTCGCGGTTTTTACTACAAAAATGAAAAATATATACGTATGTTCAATAAACAAGTAGTCTCGTGTCTAATTCTATTCGGCGGGACAACATTTCGAAACATTTGAAAAAGAGTTCGATCCTGTTGAAATTTCTATGTTTACAAAGTCTTTTTCCTCGCAGTTCATTTTTGAGATCACAAATTTGCTTGTACGAATTAATATGTGGAAAGATTTTTCTTCCATGTTCAATCTCGCGACAATGCAAGCAAGCAAGAAATTTAAATATTAGATTAGAGCAAATTTATATGCATCAATTATGATATTTGTACAAATGATGTAATAACGAACTAATGGGATCGATTCCTGTCGGCGAAAAATAGAGAAGAAAGAAGGAAGAGATATGGCATGATAATTCCATTGGAGGTTGCAAACTCAGTTTGTCAGGCGATCTGAAGGAGACTGTCGAGAGAGTGGTTGTCATTAGCGGAGTAATTGCTTCACTATAATAATTCCGTTATTCGAAAAGGAAAATACAAATAGAAAATTTATTCTCCGCGTGATATTAAAATCGCATCCGCTTTGATCGACACTATCTGATTTATTCTTCACCCACACATACATTTCGTACACTCGATATCGTTGTCGTGCAAACGAAAAAACATAATAGCAAATTCATTTATTGTATCAGGTACAATATATGATGCTGCGTAATGAAACGCGATACAAATTGTTACGTAATACGGTAAATGTAATTTGAAAATTATATTACAGACATTTATATGTATATTATATGTATATAAATATACCTGTGATATAGTTTTCAAATTACATTTATAACATTACGTTATACATATCGGCTATTTCGGCTGTACTCTAATAATCTCGTTATTATTGACTCGTAATCCTAAGACAATTCGTTATTGTTGTATTTAGATTGCAGAATTATTGTATCACAAAAATCTCGTTTTATTATTCACAATACCAAAATTTGTAATTTTAGAAAGCGATTGAGTAAAAAGCTATCAAACAAAGTGAAATAAAATTCGCAACTTGTGGACTTGTCGATTTACGTGTCCTCGTCAAGCGCGTGCAACTATTTCGATTATCTATTTTATAAAGAATGGTCTCGGTCAGACGTACGATTTGGCGTTTATAACGAGAAAAGTGATAAGAAATGGACGAGGTAAGAAAGGACGTGAAAGAAAGAAACGGACGAGGGATAAAGGAGAGGCCGCGACACAGCTTTAGCCAGCCAGGAGGTTCCTCTCAAAAACTTTGGAATTTATCCCTGTGCTAAACGCCGCGCGTCTTGGAAAACTTACCGTGTGTTTGCGCGCGGCCCCCGACCGAAATGATTATGCTATAATAATGATATTGTTAGTTGGAAATGTAAGGGCCGCCGGGGTTTGCTGCTTGAAAAAATAACGGGTAATGTTCGCCCTCGCCGTGATGTAATTAATACCCGTTGGAGAAACTCCACTGCTCTACCTGTTGTGCACACTCTTGTACGAATTTCTCTAAAGTTGTTTTAATCGTGTCGAAAACATTTGTTACGTCCTTCAACATATTATTCTCGAAATTTTGTGAAACTTATCAGACTGTGTGCCGAATTGACTTTTTTCTGGCAATTTATCTAGATGAATAATTCCCACGAAAATACGCGCGGAAGAATTGGCGAGTTGGTGGGAATCAACGTAATCGAAAATAATTCCGTCATTTATTCATCGCGAGGCAAGCGTTATTAGCGAGGCTACATAGCGTCTGTCACGCGCTAACTACCGTAATCTCTGATACGCCGAATGCATTTGTAAGGGGAAGCTAAGTGCGGTCCGAAGTCGAGAAAGTTAGCATCACGATATGCGCCCTGTTAGAAACGGCTTCGCCATAACACGATGGCTTGACAAGAGTCGGGGGATGGGAAGCGGCGAAGGTGTTAACAACCAACGTAATTATCAATTTACGCGACTCGTTCGCCTAACTAAACGTAGGGTTTAGCTAGAAATCGATAGATTATGTAAGTGAATTTGGACATGTATTTTTTAGTAGTTTACATTGTTTACGTGCGATATTGATTGGTGCATACGTAAAGTTGTATGTCTCTAGTCGATCATTTTCGGCTTTGCACAGTTTAATTAGATTACATCGAATTAAACTCTGAATTCGATGTATATTCAGCAGATTTTGTTATAAATTTGCATAACGCAAGACAAATATAGTTTCTTGATGATCAACATTAGTAATTTTTAAACGCCAATTCTTGAAGTTTCTAAAAAACGATCTCGCTCGAAATCTTAAATTTAATGTTATAAAATTGTAATTCCCGTTTCCTTTATTCTTTCACAGCTATCTCAATTTTAGCGAATGGAACAAAGCTAATATCCGCGCGATTTAATTACGTTTTAATTAATGATGTATAAGATTAAATGACTGTAAAAATTTATAGCGCGGAAGTTACACGTGCGAGAACTTTTACGGACTTAAACAATTTGAAAAATGGACGAAACTTTCGTCGGGTGGATGGAAAATTCACTCACCTGAACCATTAACGAAATCGCCACCAGCCCCTGACTTTTATGCTGCGCCTCGCTCATGTTGTGATACAGTTCGGCGTTAAAGCCATAGATTTGTATCTGTAACAGAAAACCACAAAGAAATTATTTCCCGGTGGAATCGTGCCGCGGGCATAATCGTATCTCTCGCAACGCGATCACGCCGACAAATTCCGTCCTCGCACGAACAAATTCTCGAGTTTAGAGTTTAGATTCCGGAACATTTCGTGCCCGACGACGCGCCTCGTACCACGTCGTTCCCCTCGTTGCCCCATGCTTCTATCTCCCCTCGAGATCGACTCGCTGCAATCACGTCTCTGGTCGACCGTTGCTTTACTGCAGCTAATTAAACGCTAAACCCTCGATGTATTAATAAATATTCAAGGCTACATAAATATCAAGTTACTTTTGTATATATATATACTCATACAAAATGAACGTAACAATTATAAATGTTTTATAAAAAGCGTTAATGACTTTTAGACAGAGTTAGTCTCCGTTTTCCAAAGGCGCTCGTATTCTTAAAAATACTAAGATCGATCTAATGAAATTATTCGCGTCCTTTCTAAATTGCCTATATATAGTAAATTGCCTTAATAAATTCTCAGCTTTATATACATTGGAAATTGTTAAAAATTGAAGAAATCGATATAAGATTCCAGAGTATGATCTGCGCGCGTTCGAGGTATATTCGGCTCCATCTTTTATGCGCTGAATAAATATTCCAAGAATATTTATCGAACACATACCTATTAAATCACATTCTTACGCGAGTACATAAATCTTCAGAGGCACCAAGATTCTTAAGCGCATACCATATGTAGATGCACTTTTCCTTTGACATTTTTGTGCGCCTTCTTACGTCAGGATCTTCGTCTTTAGTAAACGGAAATATTCTCTCGTACTATGTGCACTTTTTGCAGAAATATTGAACTCTTGCGAGAATAAAGTTTTCTTCGATACCTGATCATATCTCGCCTTTAACATTTCGCCTTTGCCATCGTATTCTCACATATAAAAATAAATCAAATGTATGTTATTGTTGCAATAAAGCGAATATTCCTCTCGCTGCGTCTACCATATCCGCAAGATTTAATGACAAACTACGCGGCTCGTTGTTTTAGGAAGAAACCTGCGCGGTGCGGTGTATACAGGTATGTCGCGAGACGGATCTATCGTCGCGTGCACACGGGAAAGCAGCGTTCAGTTTATAGAGAAATGGAAACCAAGTCGCTCGTAAAATGTATCTTGTTTTTGGGACATACATCTCGTTTCGTGTCTCATTTCCCACGAATGTCACCTGCTATAAGTTTTGTATGCTGGATAAGGCGCGGAAAAGACACCGACGACGTGTACGTGTCTTTCTCACGAAGAAAAGGATTTCGTCGCGATCGCTTTTCTTTGCAGTATTTCCTCTCTCCCTCCCCCCCCCCTCCCTCTCTCTCGCTCGTAGTTCCCCTTTTGTTTCCATCATCCTGTCCTTCTTCGCTGTATCCGTGTATCTATTTCTTTCTGCAGGTAATGGCATTGCCACGGCACTTCCGGTTGTGCCTAAGGGTATCTGAAATGCCCGCGACGCGCGACGAGTTCTTCTTCAAAGAACATCGGAGTACGCTGGCTGTAGCGCGACAGATGGGGCCAAGGATATGAAGAAGGAGAAATATAGGGATAAGAGAGCGACGTGAGATACGCGAGGTAGAAAAAGATAGTGCGACGCGACGAGAGGAGGATTGCTGGGAGTGAGTGTAAATCCACTGCGTCTGATCAAAGTACGACTCATACTACTAGGAATAAGAAAGATTCTCTCTTTCTTCTCATTTTCGTGAAATTTTCTCCCGTGCCATCCGCTCCCCTTTCTTCTTTAGTACAGCGTCCTCTCATCGTTTCTGCCTTTTAGCAGGATATTTTTCTCTTGGTACCTTCTTCGCTTATCGAAGAAGAAATCTCTCTCTCCCTCTCCTCTCTCTCTCTCTCTCTCTCTCTCTTCCCCTTATGCACTCGAAAAATTTTGTACCACTCAAACGCAATTCTATTTCAATTATTGAGACTACAGATGATAGTTTATCGATATGTAATATCGATACAGCGAGAATGAAATTACGAAGATTGGGTTCATTTTCATGCGCTTTGAAAATTGAAAGGCTACAGTATATTACGAAGTATTATAATCGTGTGCATTTTATGCAATATCAAACAAATGACTAAAAATATGGAGAATATAATTTAATTATGGATGCAAATATTTATAACATGTGTCCAATACTTAAATCAATCCTTCTGTATAAACATAGCCACTAATATTGATAAAATATTACTAATATTTATTACTGAAATCCATTAGCCATTTTATTAGTTAGATATTCAATTTTTACGTGTCGATTAATTCTCATTTCGATTTGCCATAATATCTGTTATCTTAATTTCAAACTTAGAAATAAAAATAAATATAATAACAAAACTCGGCAAGTTCCCTTCGACGCAACTTCCTTAACAAGAAACTTAAGAAAGAAGAAATTATGTGAATCAGCAAAGCGACTTATTTCGACGTTTGATTGACGGTTTTTACATGCAAACTGAAAGTTTCAATATTTATCGCGGGTAAACAGAAGTGGAAGTTAGGTACGAAAACAGCAGTCTGCGCAGAGTTCAGGGAGCATTCATTCAAACTTCATGAAATTTAATGCACGAATATATTTCAAGACTAACTACGATTGATTTTAAGAAAAATCAAATATGTACGCCTTTGAGTATAATTTTCCCTCCATATTTCAGACAATAAAATAAAATAAAGTTAGTTCAGAACCTTTATGATACAAATCAAACGGAAACGAGATTGAAATTTAGAAGAGATGGAAATTAGAACGTCAAATCGTTACTTAGGTCCGAGCAAAATGAAGGTAACCCAATAAATTAATTAAAATATAATTAATTAAATTTAAATTAAAATATAATCATTTTAATCGTACGTATCTGTTTGCTATTTAGAGATTTTGTAAAACGAAGACCTCAAAACGATAAAGAATCCAACATTTTTTTATCCCCTACCCTTAAAGCATTTGATAATAAACTTAAAGACTTGCAATTAGCCCGGCTTGCATGAAATACATGTTTAATTAACCCGATTGCATTGAACCCAATAATCGAGTACTTTTGATACAGCTACATGTAATTTCAATAAATAGGATTTTTTCTTAATAGCTTTTTGCCAGATTACCTTATACGACTATAGTCAATACGGACAGAAATAAAGCTAAAGACAGAAATTGAAATATTAAGAAGCACTCCGTCGACAAATCAGCTTTCGGTGGCCTCATTATATTATTGCTGATACAGATTGTAGCAACTTTACTCCGAGTATTATGAAACATTACATTAGACATACCTTTCACGTCTTAAGCCCCTTTCTTATTATCTGACGAATGAAATAATTTATGTAGCATACAAAACTCCGCTTTTGTCTCGAAATGTCAAACACAAGCGTAACTCGGTGCGAATTACACGGTCTCGAGTTAAAGGCTACGTAAGAATTACGTGACATTTTAAATTTATTACGCAGATGCGCGTACAATTGCATACGTGTGCATAATTTTCGCGCGATACACGTATTCGTTAATAGAAAAGTAGAATAATCCCCGTGACAAAAGATGTTATTCTACCGATATTTTTCTCGTGTTTTTCAGGCACGAGCTTTTATTCAGAAATACGGTGTACTTCCTCTCGTCCTTCCATTATCTCGAGCCGGGATAAAATTCTGTGGCTCTTAGCTACGCGGCGATCCCGAAATTCGTTGTCACGGGCGAGCAAAATCCTACTTGACGACCGAGCCAAGGCGGTATATAGCCGAGCTTTCTGAAATTTGCTACGCCCTGGAAATTCGGAATTCACCGCGGGTAACCCGCGAAGTGCCGAGCTGGCCCTCTCTTCCTCTGAGCACCTTCGCTTCACGTGTACCATCCGATCTCAACGTATCTTCTGCACTCTGCCTCTCATCCTGGCCCGATGCCTCCTTCACGACCACCTCCTCGTGCTTTACCCGCCACTTTGCCCGCCACTAGAGCATAATCACCACCCTCTGCGAAGGCTGCGACGAGCCCGCAAACACAGCCGCGCATTCAGTAAACGCATTATCTCCTCTTTAAACGGTCCCGACGGTCTCGGTGAAAATTATTTTTACACGCATCTGAAGTTAATTGTCGTCGAGGGGCTATTCTGGACTAACAAAAAATATCACGATACCGTGTACCAGCTTCCATTAAATGCAAAGTGTCGCCCTATAATACGCCTGCGATATCCATTTGAAAGCACGTTCTGTAACTTTGTAACGTAAAATAATGCAATTTGTCGTGGGATTAACATTTTCGCTATCGTATCGTGTGTAAAGTATCGTTACAATTTTCGACGTACATTATTCAAATGATTTCAAGTGAAGAAGGTCGCGAGTAATTGGGCAACTCTTAGTTTTTAAGATAAGCTCTGCATTTCGCAAGCAATATTGCGCATTGTTATATCAGATTTATGTTACGTTACGATAATTCGATACGACGGTATACACACCGGCATGGCGGTAGGCAGTAATAGCAACTGATCCGACGACACTAGTTAACCTATTGGCCTGGACCTACGAGGCTATCTTGCAGTTGCAATGCAACCCACCCGACTAGACATACGAAATTGTCTCGTATGCAAACTTTGTCCGGATCTGATTACAGTCCCCGTCGCCTTCGCTCCCGCAAGCAGCAGTTTCTGTATTACATCGAACACATGCACTTCTACTTTAACATTGCCACTTCTCCAGCAGCACGTTCGTATGCCAAAAAAAATGTAAAAAAGAAATTTCTAATAAATTCGGAAGTCAAATTGTAAGCGTACACAGGGAAAACGATTTCTTTGGGTTTAATAAATTTTATTGTATCCAACAAATTTGATATTTGGAATGGACCAAACAAATCATTTGTTTGAATTTCAAGTAATAGGTATATATCTTTGTCTGAAATAAAATATTTGTTTGAAACAAAAGGTATATTCTCTTTAATCTAAACGATATTGTTTCAATCAAACAACATTATTGTCTGATAGAAAAT